GGCAGAACGATACAAAAACGGTGCCTGCTTGAGGCAGGAGGCTGGATTAGGTCAAGGCTGTGTACAAGGCATGGTATTGCAATCTGGCCTGTTTTGGGTAGGGTTTGAGACCTGTGAATGAAAATCTTTCCTGAACCACTTAAGTTGTTGAATAGGGGGAAAAAATGTATGGAACTGGGGGAGTAAAAGCTTGCAGATTGCACCCCACTCCACCCAATTGTTTTTTAAAGATAGTTCTAATACAGTGTAACAACATTAAAGTTTTTTGAAACAAAAAGCCATAATACACGCCTAGACGACTATTTTCATTTTTAAAAACTTTCAGGTGCACATTTTTCCCCCTTCATAGTTGCTGTCCTACTGATCTTAACAGAATAGATGCACAATAAATATTTGTGGGCTGTACCATAATGTGATTAAAAACAACCCTCTAATATTAAACTTTCATGTTATGTTCAGCTTTTTGCTATTATAGATAACAATTATATGAATAATTTAATGCATTTTTGGGTAAGAGCTTTATTGAGATATAAGTCACATACCATACTGTACATATTTCTTGAATTAGTTCTTTAGGATAAAATCCCAAAATGACTACTGGATCAATGGTTATGGTTTGCAAAGGTGTTTTACCAAGTAATAGTGGCACCAGCAAAGGATGATTGAACAAATTTTATGTGAGAATTAAAAAAGTATTTGTTTAGTGGGCATATAATGATACTTCAAAGTTGTGTTATTTTGCATCTTTTTTTTTTACCATGGGCCATGATAAATATTTTCCCATGTGTTTGTTTCACCTGTGAAATTGTCTGTTCCTACTCTTTGCCCATCTGTTATCAGGGTATTGATGTTTTTCTTATAAATTTGGAATCATGTGGGTCATAGATGTTAGACCTTAGTTTGTCATCTTTAATGACATTTTTCTTAGTTCTTTTTGCTTTACTGTTTTTATCCTATAGAAGTTTTATACTTTAATCTATTAGAATCTGCCAATATTTTGTGATTTTTTTTCCCCCAGTGCTGAGAAATTTGTAATTCTTCCACAGACCTGATAAATCCCTTCTGTTTCCCACTTGTTTTCTTATAATTTGGTTTTTTAATAGTTAACACTTTAATCAATATCACTTTTGTTTTGGTGCAAGAGGTGAATTCAACTTATCATTTTTCCCCCTCAACTGCTACCTAGTTATCACTACAACTTTGTTAAATAATTCTTCTTTCCCCTTGTTTTGGGAAGCTTACTTTGCCATATATTAAGTTTGCATATATACATATACATATATTAGATCTATATTTGAACTCTCCATTTTGTTCTATTGATATATTTCTCCATTTCCATACTATTTTAAATATTGTTGCTTTTGGATAGAGTCTAGTTTCTCTCAGGGTAAGATTAACCCTATTGGATTTATGTGTGTGTATCATGTCTACATTTCTCAGCTCCCCACCAAAAAACATTCTGTGCCTCTTCGAGGACTTTTTTGGTTTTCATTATAAAGTTCTCACATATCTGTTGTTGCACTTACTCCTAGGTATTTCTAGCTATGTTAAGCATTTCATTTTTATTGCAAGTGCCATCTCTCAGTATGTTTGCTGGCTGGGTATTACTGGTGTATATGATTGCTATAATCTTTTGTAAATTTTGAACTTGATCATTTTGCTTAACTCTTTATTAATTCTAGTATGATTTTGTTGATGATAATGATTCCTTGGGACTTTGGGCTTACGGTCTTGTCACCTGCAAAAATAGTATTTTTTTTCTTTCTTACAAGAATAATCTTTCAAAGAATATTACCTGTTGACCTGTAAGAGAAATTGGCTAAAATGACTGGAATCCAAGCCAGCCAAGGCAAAGTTTGGCTTCTTTTTCTTCCCATAGAGATTGAATGAATGAATGAAAGAATTGATGTTTCTTGTTTCCTTTTTAAATGCTCTAAAAGAGAGCTAGTGGGAATGAGTTATGTAGCAGTAACAACAACAAAATGAAATGAGTTTGTAGTGTAAAATGCTTTGAGACTGCCAAATGAAATTATGACTTTATTATTTATTAGACACGTGTGTTTTGATTTCTCGCCTGTGTCTGGGTGTGTCTGGGTGAAGTGTCTCCTGCCTTCTAGGGAAGTTGTTTTACCGTAGCACTTGATAAAGAGCAGGATCACTGCTCAGGTTTTCTGGGTTGAGAAGAGAAGTTATGGGTGTTACAGCAGGTGGAGAGAGTGTTTTTTACCAGTGTGGTCTGTTTCTGGACAGCTGCAGAGACTTAATAAACCACTAAGAGAGGTGGTTGTCATCCCTGGAGGGAGAAGTCATGCACCCCAGTCCTGTTAAGGCATCAGGGAGCCTGGGCCCAAAGTACAGCAAGAGTATGGCTGCTTGGAGGGTAGCAGGGTTATTGTTCTTCGTTTGGGTTAATTAACTGCAGACTGGATAAGCAGGGTCAGTTGTTTTAAGGACTACACAAAACTTGATTTTATCAGAAGCCACATAACCTCACTGGCCCTGAGTTTTATTATCTATAAAGAATGGGAATAACATTGCCTAGTAAAATGAGGCTCAAATGTAGAGTGCTAGCTAGCACATTGTTCAGCACATGATAACCACTCAATAAATCGTAAAATGGAACTTTTTAATTGTGTGGCTTCTCTAGCCAGTCTGTATATACCAAAAAAAAAAAGTGAGGATGGCTTGACTCAGAGGTGCTGCCTAAAGACAGAGGGGGGAGAAAAAACCTCTCTCCCTCTCCCCCTCTCCTCTTAGTTTCTCTCACCTGTCCTGAATGTTTTTGGAAACATGACAGCAGAACCTGTGGGCTTAGGGCCCGCTCTCCCTGCTGAAGAGCCTCTTCTCAGAAACACAAACTGTTAAGGTTTACTGACCTTCCGGCCTAGGGCAAGCCCCTTCAGTTTGCCTGTACCTAACTGATCATAGCTTTGTTGAGTAAGATGAACTGCTTTGGTTCCTTGTGATTTGCTAATGGTCTTATACTTGTGCTTGAAGGCATTTTGGCCACTTTAAAACCACAAACAAATAATTTGCTTCCCTTTAGGCCTCTTTCCCAAACAGTGAACACTAGTAGGTATCCTGAGCAGTTTTTTTTAAAGGGAACACAAAAATATTAACAGTTTGAGTCAGTCATCTGATTTAAAATAAGTTTTGTTTGAAGGTTTTATGAAGCCTGATGGAATGGTAATATCTTGATTATAACAATAAAAGTCAAGGAAATGTTTCATATGTCAATCTTTTAAATTTTCCCTAAAGAGTAGGGAGGAAAACTAGCCTAGTTCAGTTTACAAGAACAAAACAGTGAAATTCAGCTGTCAGTTTATAATGTAAGCTTCATGCAAGAAGACAGTATGATGAGGGAGGAACAGAGGTTCTGTCTGCAAATTCTGGTACTGAAAATTAAGAGCAAGGAATGGAAAGAAAAAAGTACCTCTGCATGTAAACCTATTTTTAAAAAAAAAATTTTGCCAGTCTTATGTTAAAGCTTACTTGCTCTCCTTCCTCCCAAATTAAATGCTACATATTTTCAAACAGGAATTTTATTTTAAATATCCTTTGAGTAGTACCTGGGTGCTCTCTTGAATATATGCCTGTGATAGATTTGCCTAGAATTAACAATAGGTGTTTAGGGCGTGAGACTCCTGAGGTGTTTGCCCTGGCATGTACATTCATTCCTCTGGCGGGTCCTGTAGCCTTGGAGCTCTTTGAGGCTGGGGGACTAGGGTATCTATTTCAGTGATGATTAACGTCCAGAGTAGTGAGATAGACACAGATAAGCAGAGTGTGTTTGTTTGTTTTAAAATGATTGCGCTTAAGAGCATTTTTTTTTTTGGCCCAGAAAGCATAAAGTTTCCTTTCCTAACTTTGAATGGAGAAGGCATTGTGGACTGCTTACATTTAAGGCCTAAAATGATTTTCAGAAGACAGCAACTCCAAGCAGCTTAGGCTTTCTCCTTTACCTTTCTGCCTTACTTAGGGAGGAGAGTCACTTACTTATTTTCCAGTTCCTTAAAAAGTTTTATAGATGGATGTATTTAATGTCTTTAGCTGTTTTGGGAAGGCCTTATTTTTAATGGTTTTTGTGAGTTAATAAAAGTATAATTTAGTTTACAGGCTCATAATAAATAAAACAACACACTTGTGGAAGCAGGAAATGGTCTAGCACAGTCACTACCTCCAAATGCAAACTGGAAGAATGTAAGAGGCATTCATTCTCTTCTAAGACCATGAGAATTATAGAAGCTGCTTATATCCTTTGCAGTCTTGTAAAACTTGAATAGTAGGGGATGAATTTTCTAGCCATCAAGGCAGAAACATGGAGAAACCCAAAGTTTTCATGATCCGCAGATGAGCAGTCTGTAGTATGAATTCATACTGGAATGAGATCTCTGAAAATATTTCAATAATATATATTTTTTCAATTATTTGTGTCTAGAACCTTGACCATGGATAAAGATTGGGCTTAAGCTGCTAAAATCCAGCTGACAGTAAGGTCACTGAGAAAACATACAGATTTTTAAAAACAATTATATTTGAGTGTTTAACAAAGAAAAAAATTACCTTTGTGTGACAACCTTAGTTTTGGGTTGACTTTCACATTGGATTAGTTTCTGGTACTGACCCACAACCATAAAACAGGGAGAAATTCAGGTAGATTCTTCTTGAAGCCAGGCTTCAGTAAATTTTGAGAATTAAGATGAGATCAAATGTTTGAAAAAAGGGGGAGAAAATCTGGTTTGAATTTTCATTGAAAATTGGTGTGCCCTCTTCCTCCCTTGATTTATAGAAACTGATTTTTGCTAAGCTTAGGCCAGGTGTGTCAACCATCAGATGAGGCTGAGAATCCAAAGGTTTGGTTTACTCTTGAATATCCTTTCTATTCAGCAGTTTTGCTCAGATTTGAATGGATTCAGGTAGAACTCCAATTGTAATCAAAAGAAACAAGATGATTGTGCTAATTAAGAATCTGTTTATGAATCCTAAATCATTACTACTTGAGCTATATCTGACTATAAGACTATCTGGAGAAAGTCTCATTTACCTCTTGTTAGAGGTTTGGCTGCCTTGTCTCAACTATGAGTCAGTTCTTCATTTTATCCAACCTGTTCACATTGCCCTCCCTGGAAGTCTGGGCCACCCAATGGGCCCCTTGCCTGCCCCTCTTTAGCCCACAATTAATTGCCAACACATTCTTTCTTCTTCTCCTTCTTTTTTTGGTATTTGACATCAGCTCAAATTGCTGAGAAAGGTGACAACTGTGAAATGAAGACAGGGCTTGGAGACACCTTAAAAAATACATGTGAAGGCCACTAAATGACAAGAGCAGACTGCCATCCTCTTTCAAAACATCACCATGTCTGTTGACTTTCCATTCCTGGTCCACAGCACAAAATTGGAGGTCAAAGAATCATAGGAGTTAGAGATGGAAAAGACATTTGGGGTCAGCCAGTTCATTCCTCCGCCTTCCCTGCCCCTGATTCCAAATCATTCCTTACATTATATTTTCTCTCCTAGCTCTTGTACAGTTTTCACGGTCTTCATTCAACCCCGGCTGTCACCTTTGGGGAATGATGCTGGAGGTTCTGTCCAGTTTCTCCTTAGCAAAGAGAGATGTTGCCTTTGTCCCTCGTTGACATTCGTGAACTTCTTTGTTGGTGGTCTCAGCTGAGAGACCAAAGTCTAACTGGATGACTCTTTGTTGCCTGGCATTGGGGCTTTTCTGGACAGAATTGAAGAGCATTTAGAGAATGATGATATTGGGCAAGGGATAAAGGGCTGGGGTACAAGGTAGCCATTGTTGAATTTGTTCCTAGATTTTTGTTTTTCAGGTATCTTGATCTGGAAGGGGATTTATGTGTGTATGAGGTATGTGGTATTGGGACAGGTGGGAAGAGACAGGAAATAACATTGAATAGGAGTTTGATAAGAGGCCTAACTTGGAGACTGGTGGATTAAATGAACAAACAAATAAGAAATACTAGTCCTGTGAAGCAGTGGAGGGTTGTTTTAAGCATTATGTGTTAGGGAAGAACTAGAGTGTACAGAGCTTCAGCTTAGAGTCAAATTGAGGGGAACAGATGGGCTGCAGGCAAGTATTTTGGACTAGGGGACTTGTCTTTGTGGTCTCCCTTTGCTTTAAGAAAGTAGAGAAAAGTATTATGCTTACTGGCTTGGAAGGGGGAATGGTCATTTTTAGAGGCAGCTTTGTAGGGATACCCCCTGCTCCCCCCTCTTGTTCTAGCAGCTGTTGGGAGCAGTCCAAAGGGGGTATTATATTTCTTCTGGTAACTCTGCCAAGAATGAGAGGAAATCCATAATCTGTGGGGTTTTTTTTGGGAGGGATGAGGATGGGGTGGTAGGTGATGGGACAGGGAAATTAAATTGTTTTATAGTAAATATGTTGAGATGCTTTTCCTGGAAAGCTGTTTCACTGAAAGGAATGATATTTCCCCTGCTCACTAACTGTGTAATGAGTTCCTTCTCTTTAGAGAAAGGGAAATAGTCATTGAGTATTTCTTTTTCTTTCTTCCCTGTAGTTCCTGCTTTGACCTCCCATGTTTCTTTGAATTTTCCTTCAGAAAGTCCATATTGAAAGGGTGAATCAAGATTCAGATATGGGTGGTGTGTGTGCTTAAGAGAGGACTCCCTTCAAAAGTGAGTTGCTAAAGGAGAACTTCTCACTCGTCCCTTACCTTGGATACAGTTTGACTTTATCATACTGGCCTAGAAACTGGAGATGTAAAAACTTTCTGGGTGATGTCTGGTTCATATTCTCTCCATCCCTTCATCCAGGCTGGGAGGGCACCAGGGATTTTGAAGTCTGGCCACTTGGGTTGAGAACTGGTTTTGGTGATTAATATGGAACACAGTTTCAAGATTAAAAACAATAAAAAACAACCCTAGGAAGCATAGCAGTGTAATTATTTCTCACATTTCAGTTGGGGAGTCCAGGGAAAAATCATTTTAAAGGTATGAAAACAAAGTTCACCTCTTTGTCTGCTGGTGCCTAATTCATGACTCACTTAGAGGAAGTCCTATTCACAAAAAAATGGTGGAATCTTTCTTGATGTTGTTTATTTTTGGAAAGTGCTAGATCAGCCTTTCTGAAAGTGGTATTGTGGGATTCTTGAAAAACTAATTATGTAATCAGATGAGTATGGGAAATGCAGTGCACCACATCCCCTCTTTTGGGGATTGCAATGTCCATTGGTAAATTAAGGGCACTTAGAAGTTCTATGGTAGAGGGACCTGTTTAATTTTGTTTTAGCTAGCATTGTCCAAAATGTTTTGATCATAAAATTCTTTTTTTCCCTGCTTAATATCACTTAATGTCTTCTGGAACACACATACTGTTAAGTGCTCTGCAAATACAGAACATGACCAATGGCAGGAGGAAAACGATGTGAACATGGCAAACTCAGAATCCTAAGCTCATGCATGTAAAGGACAAGGATTATGTTCAGTGCTTCTGAAGCTGCTTTGGACAGCACTGATGTGGGTACCATATTAAGATACTTTATCTGTAGCTGGGCATAGTGGCATGCGCCTGTAGTCCCAGCTACTCAGAAAGCTGAGGCAGGAGGATTGCTTGAGCCCAGGAGTTTGAGGTTGCTGTGATAATGTTACTGTGATAATGTTACTGTACTTTACCTGGGGCAAAAAAAAAAAAAAAAAAAAAAGATACTTTATCTGCTCAGATTCCTTTCATGACCCTCTCTAGCATCAGAATTTGGAGACTTTGGTTGAATTCTTAAAGAAGTGGTATGTTATACATTTTTAGGAAGGGCCTTGACACATGCCTTGCCAAAGGGAGAAGCATACCATTCAGAACTGTTGCTTAGTGGTTTCTAAGCAATGTCTATCAAAATACCTATCATGCTAGGACCACAATTCTCTCTTTTTGTGTCAAAGACATACTTTTGTATGCTGTTAGAATTTTTGATAGTACATTAAAAGATTAAAGGCAGGATGTCCTTTTTTAAGAAAAATAAGTTTCAGAAAATTGGAAAACCTGTCTATGGTTACTTACACTATTTACTTGTTCGCTCTCTGGTGTGTTATTATTTGAATAGAACTGTTTACTGCCCTGACCTTGTTCACTTATATCCTTTGAGGTAAAGTTTATACATGTTCCTCTTAACATGTAATCTTCCTCTTATTTGTAGTAAGTTATATCATGGGCCATACTGTGACTTAGTGTCAGAAATCCTTATAAAAGTATGGATCATTAGTTAGACAATAATAAATTCTATAAATTATTAAAATTTGATGGGGCACTTATTCTGCTATACCACTTGTCTGCAGAATGCTGGTTGAGAGCCACTTTTAGAAGCACTAAGAGGTTTAAGACTTGATCCTTTGGAATTTATGACTCTATTGGACAAACAAGATGTATGGCTGTGAAAAGCTAGGTTTTGCAATGCCTAGGTTTATGGTAGGTTCAGTCTAAGAGTTCAGATGACATGGAGAGGAATGTTTGGAGGAGTCAAGGAAGTAGAGGCATTACCTGGATCTTAAAGAATAGGTGAATCTGACTAGTCCCAGAAGAGGGGAGCAAGCATTAGTCAGGGACAAAGGTAGGCTGGTGTTGGCAGCAAAGGTGAAGGTATGGGTATATGAGTGAAAGTAGAAGAGATGGGCTTGGCTCTCTCCAGTTGCATAATGTGCACAGTGTGGAGCATGGAAGGTGAAGTTGAATGTGTAAAGTGGGTTGATAATCAGGGGCCTTTCAAGGGAGGCGTGGGTCAGCTTGGGCAGTTCCATGCGCTCCTTGTGCATGGTCCTGTCCTCATGCTAGCATATTTTCTACAATCTCACTTCATCCTGAATGTTTATTCCCTGGCCAGAAGGGTAAGCAATTTGACATGTTATAATGATTTTTCATTGATATTTTTTTGAACCTTAGTTATAGAACTCTGCTGCTGAGGCTATTGAAGGATTCAGTCTAATCCATGTATAAATGAATAGTTAGATGTTTCTTATCTTGGGCTGCTTAAATACTTGTACACTTAAGCCAAATTCTTAGTATTAGTGGAAGAACTGGTGGGAATAGGCAATATGGGGGAAAATCTGCTTTCTGAAGAGGAAGAAGATCAAAGAAATAGAGTGTTAATTTAAAATTCCAAGCCCCCGGCATCATTTGGCATAGCTCTGTCCCTCACTTCCTGGCCCAGTGTCCCTTGACATGGCCTTGTTTTACACTTGTGGACAAACACCTTTTTTCTCTGGGTTTTCAGGTCAGCAGGATGTTATGCTTATAGAAATCATTCCAGCCACGCAGTTAGACAGCATTGGCAGTATCAAGGTGAATCAGGCTTGGGGATGGGGCAGAGAGGTAAATGGATCTGTGTTCCCGGAGTTTTCTGATTTTAGAGATTATGTAGATTTCAGACCTCTCTGATATACCTACACTTCCACTTCCTTCCGCCCAGCCATTTTTCAGGCTAGGTTTATTTATTTGCTTTTGGTTTTGAGGTGTGAGCAAGAAGAGGGGAAATGAAAGGGCATTCTAGATAACTGCCTAGATTAATTTCTGTGCCTCTGGACTCACTTGGCAAGATTTTAAGGGGCCAGATAGCTTACTGTGGGTGCATGTTGTGTTGTTTTTGTTTAAAATAGGTCATGCGCCCAGGAATGCAAACTCTAATGGTTACTAAGTGCCGGAAAGCTGAGAGGGAGGGGGCCAAGTGGAAAACTGAGCCTGAGGCAAGAGAATGAGGGCTGGGAAAATGGCAGTTCAGCCAGGCCCACGGACCAGGTTAGAGATTCCTCCGTGTATTAACAGTTATGGAGACATTTATTGACAGGGCGCTAATCATTTTTTTGAGGGAGCACCCTCACTTTACATCAGTAACCACGTGGGGGAAATGGCTGGCCATAGACCATTTTAAAAGTGGGAGCAAGGGTCATTATCAGATTCCAAGGGGCACCTGCTCCTGTCTCTCAGGCACTTTTCTTCTGTCTTGTTCTACTGACTCCCTTTGAGTGGACAGTGACAGGTCCCTACAGAGAGGGAGGGATACTTGTTTTTAAAAATTCCTTTTGATTTTTCAGATGTTGAAGCCAATAAAAGTAAAGATACGCTTTGGCCAACAGCTAGGGAAACTGTAACCATCAAAGATGATTGGACTGGCCCGGCGCGGTGGCTCATGCCTGTAATCCTAGCACTCTGGGAGGCCGGGGTGGGCGGATTGCTCGAGGTGAGGAGTTCGAAATCAGCCTTAGCGAGACCCCGTCTCTACTAAAAATAGAAAGAAATTAATTGACCAACTAAAAATATATATACAAAAAAAAATTAGCCGGGCATGGTGGTGCATGCCTGTAGTCCCAGCTACTTGAGAGGCTGAGGCAGGAGGATCGCTTGAGCCCAGGAGTTTGAGGTTGCTGTGAGCTAGGCTGACGCCACGGCACTCACTCTAGCCAGGGCCACAAAAGTGAGATTCTGTCTAAAAAAAAAAAAAGATGATTGGATCAAGGGGATGAAAATGCTAAATTGTTAAGTTTCTTTTAACAAAAGAAACTTTCTCAAGTCAAAGCCAAATGGAATAGTTTTTTTTAAAGTTAAAATTTGGTTTGAAGGACCACAGCCAAGTATTTTGAAAATGGTGTTCATCTTGGGAGAGGATGCCTGCACCTGCTGTTTAGTAGCAGCTTCTAAAGTTTGACTTTGAAAGTTTCTTGCTGCTGTGATCAAGCCCTCAGGGGAGTGCTTTGACCCTTAGTAAAGTGTCACCAAGTGGCAGTTAAGTGACCAGGGAGATGAGAGAAATGTTGTTCTCATCCCAATTCAGGAAATATGTTGATTCTTTCCCCCTTGTTTTCTTTCTGCTGTGATTCAGAATATTCCATTTTTAGTTTCACTTCCACCCAATTAATTTTAGACCTAACTCAAGAGGAGAGGTGTAACTACAAAAAAATGATCTCTTCTTTTATGTTTGGGAGAGATTTGTACATAAGAGTTTATAGGGGAGTATATATATATTTTCATTTAGAGTTCAGTTCTTTTGGTTTATCCTGTTAACAATCTTTTACTGTCTTCAGTTTTTTATCCCTCTGGTAGTGTAGGTTGCTCTCTAGAAATGTGAAACCATGGACCACATTCACCCAATGGAAAAATTCAGTAAAAGACTTTAGCCTTAACATGTGCATACCCAAATCCTAATAATTCAGCCTGAAAGATAGCAAATGTTTGATATTAGAGGAACAATTTCTAGTAGTTATAACTAGGCCAGGCACGGTGGCTCACATCTGTAATCCTAGCTCTCTGGGAGCCTAAGGCGGGAGGATCGCTCAAGGTCAGGAGTTGGAAACCAGCCTGAGCAAGAGCAAGACCCTGTCTCTACTAAAAATAGAAAGAAATTAATTGGACAACTAAAAGTATATACAAAATATTAGCCGGGCACAGTGGTGCATGCCTGTAGTCCCAGCTACTAGGGAGGCTGAGGCATGAGGATCACTTGGGCCCAGGAGTTTGAGGTTGCTGTGAGTGAGGCTGATGCCACGGCACTCTAGCCGGGGCAACAGAGTGAGACTCAGTCTCAAAAAAAAAAAATTTTTTTTAGTGGTTATAACTAAACTAATTAGAAGAAAAATAAATGATTGTTAGATTAGTATTAGTGATGATATCATTAATGGATAATAACTAGTACACATAT